GGAAAGAAGAAGTAAACCACACCAGAGCACCCGCCAACCGCCCATCCATATTTCTCTCTTGTTGGAGTAGTAGAGTACTTTTATTATTGGAAGAAAGTTAGCGGAACAGGGAAGAAGGGTGGTGAGAAAGGATGAGCTATTCTTGCTTCATTTCTACGGGCATTAGAGCGGGGAACTTGGCAGCGAAAATTCCGATGTCTACCAAGCACAAAACGAAAGGATTGAGGAAGGAAGGAAGGAGCTCTGGTGGTGGTGGTGGCTCGGAATATGGGCAAAAGATATTCGGAGACGTCTCCGCGAGCACACAGAAACTATTCGGAGGCGCACTCCCGCACACAGATGCACTGCTTTGAGGGGTCAAACTGCGTATCATAATTTGCAGCAGATCACACATGTTATAGCCACTAAAACTGTAGCAAATCAATTATTTAAATTTTCAAGAAAATTTGACACTTAACAGCAAAATATCAAATTATGGGTTAGAACAGGGGGGGGGCATGAACCCCCCAGATTTATTTACTTGGTCTTGAGGCACAAAGCATTTTGATTGGTCTATCTCCGTCGGAGCCGTCTCCGAATAGATACAGCGCAGAATATGGGCTGGTGCCGGTTCTCTCACGCGTCATTTGGCGGGGAGTGAGTGAGTGAGCCGGGGAATATTCCGGGAATAATGGGTCGGAGTCTCCGCGCTCCTCGGCCCATCAGCAAAACGACAGTAAACAAGAGCGAGGGCTAGAAGAAGGCGAGTAAGTGAAAACCGTGCGCTATGATGAGGGCGAGGCGAGAATCGGTAGATCACACCCATCGTCGAGCACGACCCGTCTGTGTTGTTTAGTTTTAGTAGGAGTTTTACGGCACTTGTAACACAATAAAGTCATATAAGTGCCGAAGAATAGATCATAGTTAGTTTTAGTAGAGGTTTTACGGCGCTCGCAACTGTATAAGGTCATATGAGCGCCAGAAGATTAGAGGTGTTAAAAGAGAGTAACAAACATAAAACAGAAAAAGGAGAGATAAGGATGATAGATGTTCGATAGGAAATAAGAAGCAAACCACACCAGAGCACCCGCAAACCACCCACAGAATAGATCATATGTTACAAGAGAGTAACATACACAAAAAAGGAGGGGGGATAAGGATGACAGATGCTTGATAGTAAAGAAGAAGCAAACCACACCAGAGCACCCGCCAACCATCCACCGACAAATGAAAATATACAACACAACTTACTTGTAATAATGCGGCGATGGGTACGTGGAATTGCTGTATGATGAAGGGGAATCTCGGTTCAAATCACCTTGTTGGGAGACAAAAGAACAGATCATGAATGAGTTAATATCTCGGCAAAATAAAGGTCACAGTCCAAGAGATACCAGAGACTATGACATTGTGCATTCTCTGGGTATATATGGCAGCAAAAAGACTGAGAGACAGGAATATGCAAGGCACACACACACACACACACACACAGACACACAGAGAGAGAG